AAAGGGTTTTGTTTTGGGTTGGTTTTTTTTTTTCCCATTTTAAATTTTATGCTCTATTTTTTGCTCAGCAATAAGTAATAATTTTTTTAGCCATGCTACTGGCAAAATACTATAAAAATAAAAACTTGTTTACATTCTCCCTAGCAGGCAAATATTGTACAAAGACTTTTTCTCCGTTAAAAGATTCAGGAGTGATAGAATACATGACTGTTCAGCCGGGGATTTCTCAACATGCATTTCTGTTATGAAAACAACTCTGTTGGAAACTTGTTTACAGAAGAATCAAACACTGCCAAATATTCACCTTTAACTGTTCATGGATTAAAGGGAAACTGCGCTTGGAAAACACAGGGCATGGAACAAATGATTTTATGAAGAAAGAAGTCAACCATGTAATGTTTCCATAAAACACAACCTAGGAGTTACGGTACAAGAAAGGCTTCAAACAACACTAAAAGCTTTTGTTGGGTTTTTGGGAACACACCACAGATTGCAACAATGCAAACAGAGAACTTTGGCCTCTACAAATACAGATGGATTAAGCAGCAATCTCTTTATTCGTCTTCTATCACTTGAGCACATATCCACACATTTTCTAATACTTCCTCATCTCAGAAGCAGGGAGTTTAATCACCACCCCCAAAAACACCTCTCCATTCTATAGCTAGAGAAAATATTTCTCTCCAATCCCACTTATTTGGGCATCCGAAACCTCTTTTCAATTCATGGCAAATTTGAGTCACTCGTTAAAAAGCACTGGTTACTGCACAAAGCCCACACAGTTTTCTTCACCATTTCTTCACAGGAAACATTTCAAAAACAACATTTTATTTTAAAAGCCATCAGCCAAGAGACTGGCAAAGACTCCTCAGTGGTTGCGCATCACATTACAACCCTGCTATAAAGAGAGGCAGAGCCTTCAAAATAAATCAGTGGGGTTTTAATTATGCAAATTATAAAAGACTAACTCAAGGACTTGCACACATTTTCATCTTATCGCAGTCAAGGGAGAAGTTAATGGCAGAATCCCCCGGGTGTGTGATCGAGCAGGCTCCTACGGTCCTTGAAGGGCAGGACGAGGCTTTCAGGCCTAAGGAAAGCAGCCTCCTGAGCATATTTTTATTTTACTTTTTAAACAGGAAGCGTGAAAAGGTGGAGAACTTAATGTTCCTGGGTAAGCTCTAACTTCTGCTTCTCATTTATATTTAACTCTGGTTTTATATTTTGCTAGAAATGTAGCTAAAATAGGCTGCAAAATTCATATTTCATCCAATCTACAGCCACTATATAAAGGAAGCCAGCCAGCCTTGTGGGGAAAAACAAAGAATCTGTTCAATATTTACAGAGAAAGGAGCACAGTGCAGCTGACGTACATCCCAACATCTCTTAGATTCAGGATCTCTGCAAACGGTTCTGTTCCTGGCAATGACAGCCCTGAGCAGCCGGGAGCGTGTGCCCAACAACTCCTGTGGCTCCTCCTTCCCTCTTTTTGTGAAACCAGCGTTATTGCATGCATAAAAGGTTTGTTACTGCTAAATCTAAGATTATTTTTGTGACACTGAAAAGCTGCCGTTACTTCAGAAA